AATAACATAATGTATATTGACTAGGGATATGTACATACAACTTTGTTTTATATCTAAAATAACATAATGTATATTGTCTAGGGATATGCACATACAAGCTTGTTTAATATCTAAAATAACATAATGTATATTTTATGGGATATGCACATACAACTTTGTTTTATATCTAAAATAACATAATGTATATTGTCTAGGGATATGCACATACAAGCTTGTTTTATATCTAAAATAACATAATGTATACTGTCTAGGGATATGTACATACAACTTTTTTTTATATCTAAAATAACATAATGTATATTGTCTAGGGATATGACGGATTCTCTAAACCTCTCCATATCCCAACTATCCAGCTCCAGGTTTAAGTCTAATCTTACTCCCTACTCTACGACCAACCCTGAGAAACCCAACACATCCAACACCCGGAGTATATTCTCGGAGGGGTTGACCCCTGCCCCGAGTTTCTCCCTCCCTGATAATCATTCCTGGAAACCTAAAGTTGGTCCTAAACCCGTCCTTCCTACTCATTCTATACTCGGAGCTAGGACGGTTCCGGGACTCTCGGAAAACACCCGGTAAGTAATTAAAAAGAAATTTAATCTTTGCCACAAACTCAAATTTTCTTATCCCAATATCTTTGCAACCTAATTTCGTAGAGCTTAAATATTGCAAACTATGCATGTTATCTGGGTTTGAAATATCAAATTTTTACACCATCAGGTTAGAAAGATATAGGAACGAAACATTTAAGTTTTTGGTAAAAGCTCAATTACTTAATGTTTTAATTTATCTTATGCATATTGTATTTTTAATACTGATAATACTGAAATATATATATCTAAGAAAAGTAGAGAAAAGAAAAGGCTTTATGCAATTCAAAATTTGACAAGAAAGATTAAAAAATCTTGTAAAATTGTTTGAAATACCCTTGCTAAGATGTCTCGTGAATATTGAGTACATGATGTTGTAAAACGTATATTCCTATATTTAATATTGTTGGTTCAATCCAAGGAAAACCCTGAATTACATGAATGTAAACAAATCTATAAAAAGCTTCTAATAGGCGAGTTCACTTTCTTTAAAAGGGAAAAACAATTTGAAAGTATTAGCTTAGCAGTGCTTAACATTATGGCAGGAAAGGCCGGAGCCTACAAATCTTACAAGCACAAAATATTTAGGAAATTTTAAATATTTTTATTTAAAATATTTCTCTGATATCTTTGCAATCTAATTCATGTAAACATTTAAAATGTTACTGATCTAGTAGAGTTCAAAGTTTAAAATAATAATCCTAAATANGGTTTTTTCCCCTAGCACTTTCAGTTTTGACACTTTCACCTTGACATTTATTACTGTTAAGGAATTTTTCCTAACCCGTTCAAAATCAATAAATTAAGAAGTAGATAATGGGCATTACAAAAATTTAAAAAAAGAAATGAATACCAAAAAGTTTGCAATAAAAAACCACAATTTTTTAAACAAAAGCAAACATTTAAACTACCAAACTAACAGGCTTATTATATTCATATTTTTCAAATGTAATGAAATGTAAGAATAAGATTTGAAAATGAAACAAGAAGAATAATTTAAAGATGGGAAACAGTGTGAATGGAGTAATTATTTGGTAAAAATCATAGGTAGTAGAAATTCCTCTGGATTAGTTAAAACGGTTTAATCTGTGTATCAAGTTGATAATCCTTTTTAATCTGTGTATCAAGTTGATAATCCTGTTCTATCTGTGTAATCTGTGTATCAAGTTGATAATCCTGTTCTATCTGTTTAATCTGTGTATCAAGTTGATAATCCTGTTCTATCTGTTTAATCTGTGTATCAAGTTGATAATCCTGTTCTATCTGTTTAATCTGTGTATCAAGTTGATAATCCTGTTCTATCTGTTTAATCTGTGTATCAAGTTGATAATCCTGTTCTATCTGTTTAATCTGTGTATCAACTTGATAATCCTGTTTAATCTGTTTAATCTGTGTATCAAGTTGATAATCCTGTTATATCATAAATTCGGAAAATTGGTAAAGTTCTAAATGTGACTTGCAGGACTTGCAGAGTACAAGTTGTGCCATCAAAACTCAATTAAAGGGACTGTAAGCGAAATTTCCAAGAAACCTTCCATGCAAAGATTAAAACGGTTTCTGCAAACGATGTCTCACATTTTTGGACAAAAAAGTGTTAAATTCTGACAATTTCGTCATGAATATCAAACTCAAACAAAGCTTTTCTGGGTATCTCTATAGCTCGGAAATTCCCATTTCCAGTCGTTCACTTGATATGACGCTTAAAGTCCCTATAATAATACAGGAAATTTTCTAATTAAAAAAATAAATATGAGTCTCACTGAAATATATAAACAATTCGAAAAGTTAATCATACAATTTTTAGACAGCATCAAACTCAAAGTTTCGTAAAGCCTTGGTCTTTGGTTTTATCCCACCAACTCACTTTTAATTATTTTTGTAGCTTTAGACATGTAAAATTTAAAAATGAGACGCGCGTTTTTCTAGTACTATACTTGATTTCTCCGTTAGCGCACATTGCAGATTGCACATCTTGAAAATATGAGAAATTGATATATTTGCACATTGTATATTTCGCAAGTTTTCTTATATTTTTGGACACCTTAATTTTGTAAAAAATATAGATTATAAGAAAAAAGGTAATTGATTACTTACCTCCAAATCTTATTTTGCATAAATCTTTGCAACATACTGGTGTAAACATTGTATAACTGGTATACCTTCTGAGTTTTTTGATTTTGTTTGGACACAATGTGAACAGGTATTCGTTGTTTATTCCTTTTACGTTGATCCAATTTAGTTCTGTTCTTTATCTTGTCTCTGGTTTCTAGTAACCCCCTCCTACCCTTCTCTCCAACCTTCTCTCCTTGCACTTGGTTTAGATAAAAACCATTATTTCTGTATATTTCAGAGTTGATCTGGATAAAGATAGAGATAGTCCAGTTCTTCTACACTGCAGGAACATTTAAACTAAACCCAACATTCCTACTCTATACTTCCGGACTACAAAGCATTAGTTACTCGGATATACAGTAGGACTACAACGTATTAGTTACTTATATATACAATAGGACTACCAAAGTATTAGTTACTCAGATATACAGTAGGACTACAACGTATTAGTTACTCATATATACAATAGGACTACAAAGTATTACTCAGATATACAATAGGACTACAAAGTATTAGTTACTCAGATATACAATAGGACTACAAAGTATTACTCGTTACTCAGATATACAGTAGGACTACAACGTATTAGTTACTCATATATACAATAGGACTACAAAGTATTACTCAGATATACAATAGGACTACAAAGTATTAGTTACTCAGATATACAATAGGACTACAAAGTATTACTCAGATATACAATAGGACTACAAAGTATTTGTTACTCAGATATACAGTAGGACTACAAAGTATTAGTTACTCAAATATACAATAGGACTAAAAAGTATTAGTTACTCAGATATACTGTAGGGCTACAAAGTATTAGTTACTTAGATATACAATAGGACTGCAAAGTATTTGTTACTCAGATATACAGTAGGACTACAAAGTATTAGTAACTCAGATATACAGTAGTACTACAAAGTATTTGTTACTCAGATATACAATAGGACTACAAAGTATTAGTTACTCAGATATACAGTAGGACTACAAAGTATTAGTTACTCAGATATACAGTAGTACTACAAAGTATTAGTTACTTAGATAAACAATAGGACTACAAAGTATTAGTTACTCAGATATACAGTAGGACTACAAAGTATTACTTACTTAGATATACAGTAGGACTACAAAGCATTAGTTACTCAGATATACAGTAGGACTGCAAAGTATTAGTTACTCAAATATACAATAGGACTACAAAATATTAGTTACTCAGATATACAATAGGACTACAAAGTATTTGTTACTCAGATATACAATAGGACTGCAAAGTATTAGTTACTCATATATACAATAGGACTACAAAGTATTTGTTACTCAGATATACAGTAGGACTGCAAAGTATTAGTTACTCAGATATACTGTAGGACTACAAAGTATTAGTAACTCAGATATACAATAGGACTACAACGTATTAGTTACTCATATATACAGTAGTACTACAAAGTATTAGTTACTCATATATACAGTAGGACTACAACGTATTAGTTACTCAGATATACAGTAGGACTACAAAGTATTACTTAGATATACAATAGGACTACAAAGTATTAGTTACGATCAGATATACAGTAGGACTACAAAGTATTAGCTACTTAGATATACAGTAGGACTACAAAGTATTAGTTACTTAGATATACAATAGGACTGCAAAGTATTACTTAGATATACAGTAGGACTACAAAGTATTATTTACTCAAATATACAGTAGGACTACAAATTATTAGTTACTCAAATATACAGTAGGACTGCAAATTATTAGTTACTCAAATATACAGTAGGACTGCAAAGTATTTGTTACTCAGATATACAGTAGGACTGCAAAGTATAGTTACTTAGATATGCAGTGAACTACAAGTATTAGTTACTCAAATATACAGTAGGACTACAAAGTATTTGTTACTCAGATATACAGTAGGACTGCAAAGTATTAGTTACTCAGATATACAGTAGGACTACAAAATATTAGTTACTCAGATATACAATAGGACTACAAAGTATTAGTTACTTAGATATACAATAGGACTACAAAGTATTAGTTACTTAGATATACAATAGGACTACAAAGTATTTGTTACTCAGATATACAGTAGGACTACAAAGTATTTGTTCCTCAAATATACAGTAGGACTGCAAAGTATTAGTTACTCAAATATACAGTAGGACTACAAAGTATTAGTTACTCAGATATACAGTAGGACTACAAAGTATTACTTAGATAAACAATAGGACTACAAAGTATTAGTTACTCAGATATACAGTAGTACTACAAAGTATTAGTTACTCAGATATACAATGGGACTACAAAGTATTTGTTACTCAGATATGCAGTAGTAGTACAAATTGCTATACTTACTAAGTATATTCCTGCTTAATAGCTATTTACATTCTTACTTAGTTAGCTAGCTCTATTAATCAGCATCTTGGCTAAGATATATTGGCTTACTTACTCAACTACATAACAGCTTTAATTACTTAAATATAATATATTCAGGCTTATATATCTCGATTATTAAAGCCTTTCTTAATTAGTTACGTATCATTCCTTACTCAGCTTTAAAGATCCTTACTTACTCAGATAAACATTCATACTTACTCATTTATACATGCTGCATGTACACTCTTACTTACTAGTTAAATACATCATTACTTACTAAAATATGTACCTTATTCAGCAATATAGGTCTTACTAACGTATAAAGCTAAACTTTTTTATATTTATCTATTTATCAATCTACTCATCTATCCTTCTATCTATCTATCTATCTATCATCTATCTATCTATCTATCTATCTATCTATCTATCTATATATCTATCTATCTATCTATCTATCTATCTATCTATCTGTCTATCTATGTACTATCTATCTCCAACGCCCTTTTTACAGGAACATGTAATAAATCTTGCATAATCCAAATCTCAGCCAATCTTCTTCAAATTTTGATTGAACAACGTGCTTCGTGCTTATATAGTGGTCCTCAAAAAAATGATCAAATAGAAAACTTTCCGACGGGGTATCTAATTTTTTTGTGGTTACATATTTTTTTAAAACGTGTTCATGGCTGAGCTGATTTCTTTTTGATTTATTTAAAAAGTAGAATTCTTAAACTGAATATTGCATTATTCAACTGGGATTAGTTTAATATATTTTGTAGATGGTTGGAGTCCCCTCCTCCAATATTCTGTAGACCGTCTCCTTCTCCACCTCCCTTCTCATCTACCATCACCAAACCATCTTTATCCTACAGACTTGCTTCTCCTTCTCCTCCTCCCTATCCCAAACCTTCTACTTGGATACCCCAAATCAAAACCTTTAACCATTAATCCGTCCCAATTAAACAGATTAATTTCCAAACCGGATTTTAATCCGTCCGTCCCAGCTCCTAGCTCTACGATATCCCTGCTTCAAGCTAAATTAAAGAACAATATACCAATCCCTCCTCCGATTCCTAGCTTTGATCAACCTAAGCCTGCCTTCTCATACCATTTCGGAGAACCTATTAACCTAAGAAAGAAGAGTATAAACAAACCAAATCAGTCAAATCCAATCATCGAACCACCCAACATTTCAATTGAACCTATCAATCATGAAACGAACCCAACCAAACCTTACAAGCCTCCAATCCTACCTGGAGAACCAGAAACCATCCCAACTAAACCTTATAAGCATCCAAACCTAACTGGAGATGCAGAAACCAACCCCGAGAGAAAATTCAATCCTAGAGTAGAGGAACCGTCCCGTCCTTCTCCGCATCCTGCTCCGCACCCTCCCCCACCTAGAACTTGTGATAGAAAGGTTGAACCTGGACAGTTCTACCGGAATATAGATCCTGCTCTACTCCGACTCTCCCAACCTCCAAAACAAGGACGGAAAGTTAATCTCCAGAAGAAGGATTCTATCTATGCTAAGCTTGCTTTAAGAAAACCAAAGAATTTGTCTTTTTCAATCCCGACCGGAAAGCTATCCAGGTAAGAACATATTTTCTATAAAGGAATTTAATTTTTGCCACAAACTCAAATTTTCTAATTCTTATATCTTTTCAACCTGATATTTTAAACTAAGAATATTTATCCATCAGAATTCATAGTTTAAAATATCTCCGATATTGGGTTGCACCGATATAGAGATTAGAAAATCTTATTTTGTTACAAAAACTCAATTCCTTTGTCTCTTTTGATTAAAATTTTTTTTTTTGTGGTTTAAAAGTCAAATCAAGCCGAATTTATATAAGATGTTTAGTGACCTTCTCTAAAACCGTTTTGAAAGTGACTTTCTAAAACTGTAATCCTTACTTAAATTATCTTTTAGAATTTTGTTGTAGAATACAACTATAATTTCTTCAGCTTGTTACTCAGATAGTGAGGTTTAAAGGACACCTAATTGTCACTTGAAATCATATCTTCAGGCCTTTCATATTTAGATCTGTGGTTTGAAAAAACTATGTTAATAATAGAAATCTATTTAACCAATTCATGAAGCATTCATTTTTTCCCTTAATACTTCTTTTCTATTAATCCTTTGATATCAGTACACAATATAGAACCTTTGGAAGAACACAATGGAAGAAATATTGTTCCACTGATTTGCACAAAAAGAAGAAACTTTTCATAAAATATCTGAGAATTGTACAAGGAAATACGTTTCTCTGATATTAATTGTCATCCACAATAAGACCAAATAACTTAATTAAAAAGATTAATTATTTCCCCAGGAAATTATCCTTGAGATAATTAAGTAAAATTATACCCCGCTCGATCTTTAAAGTTTTCGCGAAAAAAATCGTATTATTGATCAGGCAGACCCCATTTAGGAAAGGAACTAATTTCTTGTCCTAAACTCTAATTTTCTAATCCACATATCTTTAGATGGTTGAAGTTTAAGGCTAAAGTAATCAGTTCTTAAATGTTATCAACCATTTTGAGTTCGTTACTTGCATATGTGAAATTTTGAATGCCGCGTAGATTAAAGACGACTAAAAGGTTATTACAAAATTTTGGTTTCTTGGGAAACCTTGTTTATATATATAACTTTAATATTCAGGTTTGAGAGAGATAGTGCAATAATTCAACAAAATAAAGTAACATCATTTTCCAGCAAACAAATCCCAAACATAAACAACAACAACATGAATAACAACAACAATAGCAACTGTAAGAACAACAACATGTACAGCAGTCAAAACAACAGTTCTAACAACATCAACGGTGCCGGGACTGGATTTTGCACCATGAAGGTTAGTTAAATAAAATGTCATATATGTCATTAAATTCATCAAATTCATGAAATATTCTGATAGACAGTGCTTAATTGATTAACATTTTTTTGTATACAACACTAAAAACTATCAACTCTCTCCGCAATGGATATAGATTCAAAATAATTCAATTTGTAGGATTCTTAATATTAACACTTTTGATCGAAACAATTTTAAAAGTGATGTATTATAAATTAAATTAAAATTCCAGAGATTATGAATTCATAATAATTAATTAGTAAATCACAGGAATTAGTATCGCTTTAACTCATTAACTCAATTAACCACTAAAGGGGCTAAAGTCGTAGCAATCCATTTAAAAACAAACAGTCGGCGTAGAACAGGTTCTCTCTCTGTCTTTAAGCGGTTTCCCAGGGTTATTGAGAATGAATTACTTATAATCTTGAAAAGACGAAATATAGAGTCCTATTTATTATTTTAATTAATCTCTGGTATTAATGCAATGTTGGTTGATTTTAATTAATCTCTAGTATTAATGCAATGTTGGTTAATTTTAATTAATCTCTAGTATTAATGCAATGTTGGTTAATTATTACTCTCAAAGGAAAAGGCTCTCTCGGGGACTAAAGACATTTAGACCTAATGTTCAAAGTAATGTTCAGTGCAATAAAGAAAATTTGCATTTTTATTCTTATGTTTGTATTTTAAAAAAGAAAATTGTGTAGGGTTTATTTCAACCTGGAGTTTGATAGATAAGAAATCATTAAAAACTGTTCTCAATATGAAACAAATGAGAAAATATTATCCACAAGTTAATTTTACATTAAGCAAATGAAACACTATTGAATACCTACCAGAAAATTTAATTTTAATGACTCGAAAGTTTAAGATCAGCGAAATTAAATTGAAAAATTGTTTTACAAAAAAATTAGCTTTTTAAATTTATTTAGGAACAAATAATTTCATTAAAATAATCATCATTTGGCATTAAGAGTTAAATCTACTTCTTATATCATATTAGTATTATCATATTATTATTATTATCAAAAGACACGTTTTTAAAAATAATTTTTTATCCAATTGAACGCACGAAGCCTTGTGATTTTAACGATTTAGAGGAAACGTAAAGACAATTTACGTGACGTAAAATGTGAAAGTGCTTCCTTTATGGCTTTATGCCTTTAAAAGATCAACATAATTTATTTTAAATTTTAACAATTTTAGTTTTTCACTTTTGCTTTTCAAATCGTCATTGTGCCTCAAATAAACATAAATACCACAATTTTTAAAAAAGATTTAGGAATTTCCAAAAATATTTTTTTTTCAGGCAAAAGTTTTTTCTTTCAACCTTCCTTTAACAGAGGGTTCAATCGGTTCAGCCGTTTTGTCTTTTATTGAATAAAAACTAACACACGCCCAAACAGTCAAATATATAAATAGAAAGATGTTTAAAATTATTATTCCTATTTTACTATGCTGGGTATACTAAAGTATGCATTTACTTGCAATCCAATTGCACACACATTATTGGAATGGACTTTAGAATCAAACAG